CTAGAAACACAAAACCTACTGAGACTAAACCATGAAAAAATAGAAAACCTGAGTAGATCTGTAACTAGTAAGAGGATAGAATCAGAATCAATTATCTCCTTGTAAAGAAAAGCCTTAGACACGATGGCTTCAGCAGTGAATTTAACCAAGCATTTAAGGAACTAACACTATTTCTTCTCAAATTTTTCCAAACAGTTGAAGAGGAGGGAATACTTCTGAATTCACTCTGTGAGGCTAGAATTATGCTGATACCAAAACTAGAAAAGATACCACAAGAAAAGTACACATCAGTATCCCTCATGAACACTGATGGAAAAATCTTCAAGAAAATGCTAGCAAATCAAATTCAGCAGCATATTAAAAGGATTATACACCATGACCAAAGTGGGATATATTCCTGGAATGCAAAGACGGTTCAACATATGAAAGTCTTTTGAACCTTATAAAACCGAATACACTGTTTTAACAAAATGAGGGACAAAACCACATGGTCACCTCCACTGGTGCATAAACAGCGTTTGACAAAATTCAACACCCTTTTATGGTAAAAACACTCAACAAACTGGGATAGAAACTACCCCAACATAATAAAAGCTGTATATGAAAAACAGTGAACAATTATACTTAATGGTAAAAAACGGAAAGCTTTTCCTCTAAGATCAGAAACAAGACAAAATGCATGCTTTTGTCACTTCAATTCAACACAGTGCTGGAAATTTTAGCCAGAGTCATTAGCCAAGAAAAAGAAATTAAGAGGCTTCAAAATCAGGAAGGAAGAAGTAAAAGTATCTCTGTTTGCAGATGACATGATCTTGTATGTAGAAACCCTAAAGATTCCACAAAAAATTGTTTGAACTAATGCATGAAACTGGCATAGTAGCAGCATACAAAGTCAATGCACAAAAATCAGTTGCATTTCTAAACACCAACAGTGAATAATATGAAAAAGAAGAGGAAAATTCCACTTAAAATGACATTAAAAAGAATAAAGAGGTGAAAGACTCGTACAATGAAACATGAAACATTGCTGAAAGAAATTAAAGACATAGATAAATAGAAACATTATATGTTGAGAGATTGGAAGACTTTAACATTGTGTGTTTGTTTTTTGAGACAAGGTCTTGCTCTGTCACCTAGGCTGGAGTGCAGTGGCACAATCATGGCTCACTGCAGCCTCAATCTCCTAGGCTCAAGTGATCCTCCCACCTCAGACTCCCAAGTACCTAGGACTACAGGCATGCACCACTATGCCTGGCTTTTTTTTTTTTTTTTTAAATTTTTTGTAGAGATGGGATCTCACTATGTTGCTCAGGCTGGTCTTGAACGCCTGGGCTCAAGTGATCCTCCTGCCTTGGCCTCCCAAAATTGTGGGATTACAGGCATGAGCCACCCCGCCTAGCCTGACTTAACATTGTTAAGCTGTCCATACCACCCAAAGTGATTTATAAGTTAATTCAATACAATTTCTATCAAACTCCCAAGGACGTTTTTTGACTTGGGAGTTTTAGAATACAAAAATTTATTCTGAGATTCATACGGGATCTCAGGAGACCCTGAAAAGCCCCAGCAAACCTGAAAAAGAACAAAGCTGGAGATCTCATACTTCCTGAACTTAAAACTTACTACAAAAAAGCAGTCATTAAAACAGTATATTGGACTTGGCTGTGGTATGAAGACATAAGAAAAAAAAGAAGAAAACAGAGTGATACATAAAAATAGACATAGAGACCAATGAAATCAATAGCCCAGAAATAAATCCTCTTATATAGTCAAGTGAATTTTTTTTTTTTTTTTTTGAGACGGACTCTTACTCTGTTGCCCAGGCTGCAGTGCAGTGGCATGATCTCCACTCACTGCAGCCTCCACCTCCTGGGTTCAAATGATTCTCCTGCCTCAGCCTCCCGAGTAGCTGGGACTACAGGCGTGTGGCATCACACCCGGCTAATTTGTATATTTTTAGTAGAGACAGGATTTCCTGTTAACAGGCTGGTCTTGAACTCCTGACCTCAAGTGATTGGCCTGCATCAGCCTCCCAAAGTGCTGGGATTACAGGTGTGAGCCACCGTACCTGGCCCAGTCAAGTGATTTTTAATAAGGACATGAAGATTGTTCCACAGGGACAGTCTTTTCAACAAATGGTATAGGGGAAACTGGATATTAACATGCAAAAGAATGAAGTTGGACCCTTATCTAATACCACATTCAAAAATTAACTCAAAATGGCTGGGCCTGGTGGCTCACACCTGTAATCCCAGCACTTGGGAGGCTGAGGCAGGCGGATCACTTGAGGCCAGGAGTTTGAGATCAGCCTGGCCAACATGGGGAAACTCTGTCTCTACTAAAAATACAAAAAATTAGCCAGGTGTGGTGATGCATGCCTATAGTCCCAGCTACTCTGGAGGCTGAGGCATGAGAATCACTTGAACCCGGGAGCTGGAGGTTGCAGTGAGCCAAGATTGTGTCACTGTACTCCAGCCTGGGCAAGAGAGGGGGACCCTGTCTTTAAAAAAAAAAAAAACTCAAAATGAATTAAAGACCTAAATGTAAGAACTAAAACTATGAAACTTTTAGAAGAAAACATAGGACAAAATCTTCACAACATTGGATTTGACAATGATTTATTGGATATAACATCAAGGCATAAGCAACATGGAAAAATAGACAAATTGTACTTCATGAAAATTTAAACATTTTTATACATCGAAAACACTATCAACAGAGTAAAAAGGCAGCCCACCGAATGGGAGAAAATATTTGGAAATCGTGTATCTGTTAAGGGATTAATATTCAGGATATATAGGGAACTCTTAAAACTCAACAATGAGACCAGGCGTGGTGGCTCACACCTGTAATCCCAGCTACTTGGGAGGCTGAGGCACGAGAATTGCTTGAACCTGGGAGGTGGAGGTTGCAGTGAGCCAAGATCGTGCCATTGCACACCAGCCTGGGCTACAGAGTGAGGCTCCATCTCAAAAACAGACAAACAAAAAATTCAACAATGAAAAAACCCAATTCAAAAATGGACAAAGGACTTGAATAGATGTTTCCCCAGAGAAGGTAAACAAATGGCCAATAAGCACATGAAGAATGAACATCACTAATTATCAGGGCAATGCATGTCAAAACTATACCCCACACCCATTAGGATGGCTACTGTCAAAAAAAATGGAAATAACAAGGCTTGGTAAGGATGTGAGAAATCAGAACCCTGGTGCATTGTTCGTAGAAATAGGAGATGATGCAGCCACTACTGGAAAACAGTATGTTGGTTGCTCAAAAAACTAAAAATAGAATTACCATATGATACCAAAATTCAGTCCTGGGTAGGGTGTGTACCCAAGATAATTCAAAGCAGTATCCCAAAGAGATGTTTGTACGCTCATATTCCTAGAAGCCTTATTCACAGTTAAAGTGGAGAAGCAACCCTTGTTTGTCCATCAACGGATGAATGGATAAACAAAATGTAGTATGTACATACAAGAGAATATTACTAAGTCTTAAAAAGGAAGGAGTTCTGATATGTGCTATAACACGGATGAACCTTGAAGATACTGTATGAAGGAGATAAGCCAATCAGAAAAAAGACAAATACTGTATGGTTCCATTTATATGAGGTATTTAGAGTAGTCAAAATCACGGTAAAAGGAATTTGAGTTTTTTTTTTTTTAAAAAAGGGTAGTAAAAATCATAAAGACAGAAAGTAGAATGGTAGTTGCCAGGGGCTGGGGAGAGGGATGAATGGGGAATTATTGTTTAATAGGGTCGGTTTCAGTTTTACAAGATTCAGTAGTCCTGGAGATGGATGATGGTGGTGATTGCAGAGCATTATGAATGTATTGAACACCACTGAAATGTATACTTTAAAAAGGGATACTGGTAATTTTATATTAGGTGTATTTTAACATTAAAAAATTGGGGGATGAGCGCTGGGTACAGTGGCCCACGCCTGTAATCCCAGCACTTTGGGAAGCTGAGGTGGGCAGATCACGAGGTCAGGAGATCAAGAGCATCCTGGCCAACAAGGTGAAACCCCATCTCTACTAAAAATAAAAAAAAAAAAAAAAAAAATAGCGGGACTTGGTGGTGGGCGCCTGTGGTCCAGCTACTCGGGAGGCTGAGGCAGGAGAATCACTTGAACCCAGGAGGTGGAGGTTGCAGTGAGCCAAGATTGTGCCACTGTACTCCAGCCTGGGCAACAGAGTGAGATTCCATCTCAAAAATAAAAATAAAAATTGGGGGATGAGGGCAGGGTACAGTGGCTCATGTCTGTAATCCCAGCACTTTGGGAGTCCAAGGCAGGAGGATTCCTTGTGCCCAGGAGATCGAGACCAGCCTGGGCAATATAGTGAGACCTTGTCTCTACAAAAAAATTTAAAAATTAGCTGGGTGTGGGGCACACGTCTGTAGTCCCAGCTACTTGGGAGGCTGAGGCGGGAGGATCGCTTGAGCCTGGGAGGTCAAGGCTGCAGTGAACTGTGATTGCACCACTGCCGTCCTGCCGAGGTATATTTGTTTTCTGGTTTTTTGTTGTTGTTTATTGTTTTTTTGAGACAGAGTCTTGCTCTGTCGCCCAGGCTGGATGCAATGGCATGATCTTGGCTCACTGCAACCTTCACCTCCTGGGTTCAAGTGATTCTCCCTGCCTCAGCCTCCCAAATAGCTGGGATTACAGGCATCTGCCACCATGCCCAGCTAATTGTTGTGTTTTTAGTAGAGAGAGGGTTTCACCATGTTGGCCAGACGTCTCGAAGTGCTGACCTCAGGTGATCTGCTTGCCTTGGCCTCCCAAAGTGCTGGGATTACAGGTGTGATCCACCGTGCCCAGCCCTGTTTGTGTTTTTTTTCAACAGACGTAATTTCTGACTTGCATACCTTTTTAATCAAGAATATGTATGGTCTGCAGCCTGATGAAGTTTTTCACTTGTTGGTAATGTCCTCCTTGTTTTACATTTTCAAAGCCTGCATAGTTACAGATTCATTTGTTTTCAACGTTTCCCCAGGGGAAGACGGAATCTATCACTGTGGTGAAGCTGTTGAGCTGCTTTGATGACCTGGTGGCAGCAGGCACAGCCTCTGGCAGGGTTGCAGTTTTTCAACTTGTGTCTTCATTGCCAGGAAGAAATAAACAGGTGAGTACTCATGATCTGAACACGTGTTAACTTCTTGGTAAATTCCTCATGGATTTTTAAAATGAGAAATCCTCATCTGCTTAGAAAGTTTATGCTCAGAGAAAGCCGGGCACAGTGGCTCACACCTGTAATCCCAGTAATTTGGAAGGCCAAGGCGGGCTGCTCATGAGGTCAAGAGATCAAGACCATCCTGTCTAACATGGTGAAACCCCGTCTCTACTAAAAATACAAAACTTGGCCAGGTGCGGTGGCTCACGCCTGTAATCCCAGCACTTTGGGAGGCTGAGGTGGGTGGATCACAAGGTCAGGAGATTGAGACTATCCTGGCTAACACGGTGAAACCCCATCTCTACTAAAAAATACAAAAAACTAGCCAGGTGTGGTGGCAGGCACCTGTAGTTCCAGCTACTTGGGAGGCTGAGGTGGGAGAATGGCGTGAACCTGGGAGACGGAGCTTGTAGTGAGCTGAGATCGCGCCACTGCACTCCAGCCTGGGCGACAAGCAAGGCTCCGTCTCAAAAAAAAAAAAAAAGAAAAGAAATACAAAAATTAGCTTGGCGTGGTGGTGTGTGCCTGTAGTCCCAGTTACTCGGGAGGCTGAGGCAGGAGAATTACTTGAACCCGGGAGGCAGAGGTCGCAGTGAGCCGAGATTGCAACACGCTACTGCACTCCAGCCTGATGGAGTGAGACTCCGTCTCAAACAAAAAAAAAAAAATTATGCTCAGAGAAGCTTAACACAGTGCTGTTTATAATTGGAGAACATTTTTGTGCCGAATTGAACACTTGGCATAAAGTGCAGGTGGGTCATTTCATGTTTGCTTAGTATCCTCAAGGTGTGCTCTCTGTGGGTTTTCAGGGTGACTAGAGGGATGGAACCTTGTGCAGGGTTCTGCTTGGAAAAGGAGATTGGGAAAACCAGCTCTTCCGTAACTAGGAGCGATTGTAGACCTTTTCCATGTAGCCCCAGCTCACAGCATTTATCCTTTTCTTTTTCTTGTGTTTATTTTTATCCCTTGTTCATAGCTTCGGAGATTTGATGTCACTGGTATTCACAAAAACAGCATTACAGCTCTGGCTTGGAGCCCCAATGGAATGAAACTGTTCTCTGGAGATGACAAAGGCAAAATTGTTTATTCCTCTCTGGATCTAGACCAGGTAAAATTATTTTCAGAAATCCTGTTGGCTCTTGCCTTCTTACATTTGGAAAAACTATATTTATAATTGTATTTTTATTCAGTTTGTATTCTTGAACATTGTCCCTTTATAATCTCAATTGTTATTTGTAACATTTACTTTTATAGACTTATGTTTTATAAGCTTCCACTTCCAAGACTAAGGAGTTGGCCTACTGGAACATTCACTTTTTTCATTCCACTGTTGTGTATTACTCCTACTTGGAAAAGAAGCTATTATCATTCCTACTTCCTGAAAGGTTAGTAGGAGTGATGCCGAGCACTTCTGAATCCTAACTGTGGACAAGTCAGTGATTTCAATGGATGGAGGACTCTCTGCCAGCCACCTGGCCTGTGTGAGATGACCTCATGTGACAGGAAGTGGCAGAGGAGAAGGTTAGGTGGCAGTACGGTGAAGATGAAGAAGCTGGAGCTCCAAGAGATCCAGGAACTAGCCCAGGGTTGCAGGCTTGCACCTCACAGGGCTTGCTTTCAAACCCAGGTTCTGCTTCGACGCCCGTGCCTTTTCCACTGCATGTGTGGCTTTATGATCTGCTGGGTTTTATTTGTTTTGTCATGTGTCTGCAACCAAACTGAACTCCTTGGTGGCACAGTCCTTTCTTTTTCTTATTTGTAACCTTCATTCCTAGAACACTGTTAGAATTCAGCAATTTTTTTTTTTTTTTCTTGAGACGGAGTCTCGCTCTTGTCTCCCAGGCTGGAGTACAGTGGCGCGATCTTGGCTCGTTACAACCTCTGCCTCCTGGGTTCAAGCAATTCTCCTGCCTCAGCCTCCCGAGTAGCTGGGATTACAGGGACCTGCTATCATGCCTGACTAATTTTTCTATTTGTGTAGAGATGGGGTTTCACCATGTTGGTCAGGCTGGTCTTGAACTCCTGACCTCAGGTGATCTGCCCACCTTGGCCTCCCAAAGTGCTGGGATTACAGCTGTGAGTCACCATGCCCGGCCAAGAATTCAGCAATTATTAGCTGCATGACTTTCAGTCCCTCTGATCCAAGACTGACCTATTACAAATATTCTCTAGTAGTAGTTTTCAAGCTTTGTAGTCATAGGATCCCTTTATACTCTTAGAAAGAGGACCCTAAAGCATTTTTGTTTATATAGGTTATCTCTACCAAGTACACCGTGTTAGAAGTTAAAACTGATAAATTTTAAAATGTATATATTTTTTTGAGATGGAGTCTCGCTGTGTTGCCCAGGCTGGAGTGCAGTGGCACAATCTCAGCTCACTGCAACCTCCGCCTCCCGGGTTCAAGCGATTCTCACGCCTCAGCCTCCTGAGTAGCTGGGACTACAGGCAACCACCACCATGCCCGTCTAATTTTTTGTATTTTTTGTAGAAACGGTGCTTCACCGGATGGTCTCGCTCTCCTGACCTTGTGATCCTCCCATCTCAGCCTCCCAAAGTGCTGGGATTACAGGCGTGAGCCACTGCACCTGGCTGACATTTAAAAATATTTTTACTTTGAAATAATAAATCCATAATATCTGAACATAAGTGACATATTTTGTGAAAATATCTCTATATCTCTGTTTTCAAAACAGGTGACAAGAGTGAGTGGCATTGAGTTGTATTTTTACAAATCTCTTTATTATCTGGCTTAATAGAAGATGACTGGCTTCTGCATTCAATCTGTTGCCATACATTGTTTTGATTGAAGTATATAAAGAAAAACTGGCCTTACACAGACATGTAGTTGGAAATGGGAGGAGTATTTTGATAGCCTTTTCAGATAATTGTGGACATTCTTTAATAATATCCTCATATTGACAAATGGTAGTTGCTTTAAGGGTTACAGTGACAAATGACAAACGGTAGTTTCTTTAAAGGTTAGTAAAAATTGGAATCTGAAACCACATGGATGAATTTTTCCTACTCTGTTACATTAAAATCTACTTTACACATGTTGGATTTTGTAACATTATGTATTGGTCACTTAGAAAATACTATTCACAGAGTGGTGTAGATCTTCCAAATGTTGACACTTGTTTTTTTTTTTTTTTTTTTTTGAGACATGGTCTTACTCCTCTCACCCAGGCTGGTGTGCAGTAGTGCAATCATGGCTCACTGGAGCTTCGACTTCCCAGGTTCAGGTGATTCTCCCACCTTGGCCTCCCGAATAGCTGGGACTACAGGTGCACGCCACCATGCCCAGCTGATTTTTTGTATTTTTATAGAGACAGGGCTTTGCCATGTTGCACAGGCTGGTCTTGAACATCTGGGCTCAAGCAGTCTGCCCACCGCAGCCTTCCAAAGTTCTGGGATTACAGGTGTGAGCCACTGTGCCGGCTGGTACGTTTTCTAATACAATATCAAAAAAAAAAAAACCTTTGTTAACATCAACATCATTGTAATCAGGAAAGTCTAGCTATAAGGAATCATGTCAAGTTCACAGGGACAGGTACAAGTTTTCGTATGGCTAATCTTCACATGAGAGCAACAAATACCATTACTTGTTTTCCTTGAAGTGACAGGCTTTTGTTTTTTGAGAAAATGTCTGCTAAATACCCAAATTTGAATAATTACAGCATTTCAAATAAAAATGGTGTTTTGTGAAGAAAGCAGCTGGCTCAGCTCGTAGCTGCAACAGTTGCACAAGTGCTTTTCTTGAGAGAACCTCTGAGTGTGTTTCAGTGTGCAGCAGAAGGGAGAATAGAAAACTGCCTATCCTCTGGCCAGGCACGGTGTCTCACACCTCTAATTCCAGCACTTTGGGAGGCCAAGGCAGGATGATCACTTGAGCC